AGAAAGAAAGAAGAAGAACGAAAGAACGAAAGAACGAAAGAAAGAAAGAAAGAAAGAAAGAAAGAAAGAAAGAAAGAAAGAAAGAAAGAAAGAAAGAAAGAAAGAAAGAAGGAAAGAAATAAAAAAGTTGAGTTGAGTTGATTCAAGAACCGACATCACAGCACTCAGGGCAATCCCACAAGCGCTCCGTCCCCATCTTCAGCAGCCAGTGCAGAGTTCCAATACTAATGGTATTAGTAGAATTCTGATTAAACGTTCGTCCTGCCTTTCCTCTGAGTCTCAAGCAGCGACCAGACCCTCTCGTCACTCCCAGGTGCATCCATCTCACCAGACTGTGGTGACCCATCTGCTCCTCCGAACTGTACACGAGAAAGAAGGAATGAAAGAAAGAATCAACAAGAAGAAGAAGGAAGAGGAAGCTATGGAAGAAGAAGGGAACGATAAATGGAAGGACACATTACTTGGACCAAACGAACGAATGTTTGATGCCGAGAAAAATAAGTAAAGTAGCTGTATAGTAATAATAATAACAAAAACAATAATTACATTTAAAGTCACCCAGAAATGAAATGTTTTTACAAGATGAGCGAAAAAAAAAAAAAAAAAAAACACTACCGAACATACATACATACACATATTTCAACAAATACGTGTGTTTTAGATATATCCTTTACCCCAAAATAGATCAGAAAGTAGACAGATGTGTGACCATAAACGATAGGCTTTTCAGTCAGAGCATTGTCAGTTAGTTAGTTAGTTAGTTAGTTAGTTAGTTAGTTAGTTAGTTAGTTAGTTAGTTAGTTAGTTAGTTAGTTAGTTAGTTAGCTAGTTAGTTAGTTAGTTAGTTAGTCTTTCCTCTTGTGTCGAGTGCGGCACATAGGGCAGAGGTCATGACTCTCCATGCATGGCGGTTCGTTGCAATCTGTTGTAGGTTTTGGATGTTTGAGTGGCCCATGAGCGAGCCTTCCCTGATGATAGTTCTACGCAGTTTCCCTTGGTCTTCCACGAGATCTTTCCCCTGTGGTGTCCAAATGAGGGCTTGGTAAGGAAGTCTTGATTTAACCATTCTAAGGGCGTGGCCGACATAGTTCCAGCGGAGTTTTCGTATAAAATTAGACACATAGACTTGCCTGGATTCTTGCCTTATTTGTGTATTGGTTCGGAAATCTGAGCATTGTAGTGAAGGAATAATGCTTCAACAGAGTTGAGTTGAGTTGAGTTGAGTTGATTCAAGAACCGACATCACAGCACTCGGGGTATTCCCATAAGCGCATAAAGAGCACGGCGAAGCACGTAGAACACCGCCTTGGCAATCCACTGCATATGGTTATTAAAACACAAAACACAAGACCTAATCTTCTCTCCACTATCGATGAAAACCAGCTGGAAATAGCCGCCAAGAAGCGCATTTCCATAAGATTGCTTCAACCGTCCTCTCTTACAAAGGACAAGAGATTGCACTTTCTAACCCCTGGGAGCCCACATATAAGCGTTGTTTAAACTGTTGTATGGCATGCTGTGACAGTGGCATGGAGGAATATCATATGTGGACACATCAAGAACACACCAAGGACCGAGATTTGTGGAGATGTACATAAGCCTACGCCACTAAGGAACTTGATGATGATGAAGATAATGATGATGAAGATGATGATGATGATGACGATAATGATGATACTGTTGAAGGGATATCTGAGACATGTTGCTGTTGAACTGATATCTGAAAAGTTGTTCCTTATTTGAGTGAGTGTTAATGCGTGAGTGCAGTCCTAGAAAGAAAGTTTTAAACATGCTACCCTTCCATATTTGAATTGTGACTTAGGCGATCTCCTTGGCGAAGTGGTCAAGCTGTTTGCCTCACGCTCTGAAGGTCGTGAGTTCGTTTCACAACGGCACTTTTCAGTTCGCGAGTGCAATTTTTACGGAGCTTTAAGTTCAGAAGTGGACGAATATCTAGAACATTATGCCGGAGCTTACAGCCATTGTTGTAGACGAATAAGAAAAAGTAGGAGGAGAAGAAGAAGAAGAAGAAGAAGAAGAAGAAGAAGAAGAAGAAGAAGAAGAAGAAGAAGAAGAAGAAGAAGAAGAAGAAGAAGAAGAAGAAGAAGAAGAAGAAGAAGAAGAAGAAGAAGAAGAAGAAGAAGAAGAAGAAGAAGAAGAAGAAGAAGAAGAAGAAGAAGAAGAAGAAGAAGAAGAAGAAGAAGAAGAAGAAGAAGAAGAAGAAGAAGAAAAAGAAGAAGAAGGAGAAGAAGAAGATTTCTCTCCGCAGAACAGCCAGACTTTTATCAAAAGCGTCGCACAAAGCACGAACTCTGTAGCTTTAATGACGATCACCATGGATCTTGATAAAAATTACACGAATGACCTTTAGAGTTAGTTAGTTAGTTAGTTAGTTAGTTAGTTAGTTAGTTAGTTAGTTGGGTTATCCTCATTGCACTCCGGACATGTCCATAGGTGCTCAGATCCTCCCCTCAGTATGAACCCCAACGTCCGATGGCTAATAGTACCAGTTCTATGTTGATTAACAAGTCTTCTGGCGTGTCTGGTGTGCGTCTCGTTTTTTGCTGTACCGATCTTAATTCCCAAGTCTGCCATTCTGGCGAGTGATGTTGATTCACTGCCACCAAAGTCCTCTATCCTTCCCATTTCTCTGAGGGCATTGATAATATCAGCATGATCCATAGGCTGACCGTCGGTAGTGATAGCGGATCCAGCCAACCTGTCAGCTCTTTCATTTCCATCGACGCCTGCGTGTCCGGGAACAAAAATAAAGGTGACTCCACGCACAGTGGACTTCTGTAATGATTCAAGCCAATGTCTTCGCACTGAACCTGCCTGAACCCTCCGGATCATACTCATTGAATCACTGAGTATACACACGCGGGTGTATTTTTGTGTTTCAAGCCAGGCAAGCGCTTGCGTCACTGCCATCACCTCCATCGTCATGCTGCTGGTTGTCATGGAGAAGGCGCCGTTGGCTTCTTGACTGTTGACTGTTCTGCCCGCTGAGCGTGCTGTAAAATGCCCATGCGCTTCTTCTTTGGCGTATAACGGATCCGTCTGTATAGATTATTGCATCTACTTCGTCTGAATTTTCACCGATGAGAGCGTTGACCTCTGCATTAACAGCAACAGGATTCTCTTCTCTACATCGCCTGTTGAGTGTGACAATACAGGAAAATGTACAAATAAACGCCTGAGGCACAGGTATCCATTCTGCACCAGGTATGATGTCGGTTAGGCTGCATATTTGCCTAATGACATCTTCTGCCCGACCTAGCCACGATTTCCCCCTCTTCAGTCTGTCGCCCTTTTCTCTAAAAAGCGCTTGATGCAGTGGGTGTTTCTTATCAGCACATATTTTGAGATATGCCCGAGCCCTCCACATCCTGATCCTTTGGTTCATTGTTGGAAAGTCAAGTAGATACCTCATTGCTCCACAAGATGTGTCTCTTGTACATCCCAAAATAATGCGCATAGCTTCATTTTGCACCTTTTCGAGTCGTTCAATCTGGGTAGCACTGACAGTGAGGATGGCCAGAGCGTATTCAATGGGGGAAAGGACCAGACCGTAGAATAGAAGTATTAGTAGTCTTTGCTCTATATTGGAAGCAGCCACAATCCTCATTGCAGATAGACCTTTGCGTGCCTTTGTTATCACATGGTCAACGTGTTCCCTGAATGACAAGCTGCGATCGAACCTCACCCCGAGAAACGCCATAACATTGGTTCTGATCAATACACTATCACGCATTTTCACTTCTGGTAAGTCCGACTTGACAATGTGATTGTTCAAAGAGAACCATGACACTGATGCCTTCGAAGGATTGACACAGGCATTGGAACCATCACACCAGGCGGCAATTCGATCGAGTTCTTTGTGTATAGTGCTGGCGATCTCCTGTCTATCACGCCCTCGTCGATAAATCAAAATGTCATCAGCAAATGACAAAGTCCTTCCCTTTCCATTCAACTGCTGCTCAGTGATCATCACCGTATAAACGTTGAATAAGACTGGTGATAGCGGTGATCCCTGTGGCAAGCCTGGACATATCGTTTGCGGTTCTGAGGACCAGCTACCACATCTTAGTACAATCTTTCTCTGGAACAGGACCGCAGCAATCCAGCGGATCAGAATAGGATTAACTTCTAGTTTAAGCAGTAATTGCGACCTTTAGAGTGTGACGCTTCAACGCTTATCCGTTCGACTATGGAGATCGCAGTAAAAAATATAAGGTAGTCGAGTGTTCACAGCCAGATGTGTATCCATGATGGACAGTTGGCAACTCTTGAAGATGTAGGGTGACCAAACCTCCAGGTATCAGCCCGGACGCGGAAAACAAAGATAAGTGTGGGATTTCTTCTTACATGAGTGGAATCCGAAACACAGCTCTTTGAATCAATGAGGTGAATCCCCGTGTGGGTTCCAAGGCCCCATAGTGGGGGAAACAAGAATAGACTAACTGCCTGCCCAAAAGCATGTCGTAAAAGTCGACCATTTGGGAGCTTCCTACGTAGTCGGAGTACTTCTGCCTGAGTGGCAAGCAACCAACAGTCTGCATGCAAACGAGTGAGACCTATGAAACGGATGTGCACGCAACACTCAGTTTCTGGAAAAGGACCGGAGTCCAGAAGTGGACGAACAACCGAAACTATCCGCCGGAGTTTACAGTCGGTGAAGGCGAAGAAGAAGAACAAAAAGAACAAAGCGGATAAATTGCGAATTGGATAGCATGAATATTAATAATAACAATCAATATAATACGATGTTAGGGTGATAAGTGGGTATTTTAACCATGTAAAACGTCAAGGGGGTCTGGCAAGAGCGGTGATAGAGGGTCGCATTTCTGGAAAAAGAGGCAAAGGTAGACCGTCGTGAATGTGGATGCAAGACATAAAAGATGCACTGGTTTTTTAAGCACATAGTGCTGAAGAACTGGCTAAACACACACACACACACACACACACACACACACACACACACACAAACAAACAGAGAGAGAGATAGAGTGAGAGAGAGAGAGAGAGAGAGAGAGAGAGAGAGAGAGAGACTTTCAGGCGTGCCAGGAAGAGAGCGACGTTTTGTAAAGGACCAACTGAGTGATGATGTTGCATTTTTTAAATGTAAATTATACAAGAGTATATACGGGAAACTGATCCGGTCGAAGTGGCCAGAAGAGCAAGAAACGTCTGAACCCGAATCGTTAAAACAAAATAATGAAGAAGCTGCAAGGGACACTACCCCTAACCAGTACGGGCAACAGCAAGTAAAACTGCGGTTGCGTCTCTTTGAGAAAGAAAACCCAAGCGGGCTGGACAGTTTCTGCTTGTCGATCGGGCAGCATTTTATTGTGAGGGAATGTGTGTATATTTGGAAACGTATCAGGGGCGACGGAACGTGAGGGATGAACTTTCAGTCCTAAGAAAATGTGCTCCACATGGTTCTTTTGACTCGCAGCCCCAATTGGCACGGCCAGAGTTGGTAGTCTACACGGTGAAAAATCATTTCCCACGAAAATGAAAGCCTCACAGCGTTTAGTCTCTCGCGTGGCATTGATGGCCCTTTCCTTATTGTGACAATTCCAGCCTAAAGTATGTGATTGTATATTCAGACGGCTCTGTGTTGAGGGGCAGACGAAGTGCATAGGGGTTCATAGCAAAGGCGAATGGACGTCGCTTGGTGCAACAAAGCCTGGTATATGATATCACAACGTCTAGTTTGAGAATGGAGGTGGAGGCAGTCACAGCTGCCTTCCGCTAGCTTAAGAATCAGCTGTACACACATTTCGTCACAGAGCATGTTGAGAAAGGTGGAGGCAGGAATGCTCCGTGCAGAGTGGCAACCATAACTTCAGAGGTCCCGGGTAGTTAGCATTCTTTAGAAATTTTCTACAGATTATGCCGGTGTGTTGGGTAAAAAGCAGACAGATAGACTGGCCGGTTCTGAACCACTTGGTGGGGATGTATGGCAAGCTGGATGTTTTGAAGGTCCTTTGAGAGCGAGTAAACAGTGCCAGGAACAGACAGATCATTACCGTCTGAGGAGAATGGCACTGCGAGGAGTTACAAGGGGATCTGGCCAACACTCGACACTCAGGGGAAGGGCGAGACGGATACACAATCAGACAGGTACTGGTACCATCAGAATTTTAACTCTTTGCTTGCCGCTGGAGATAGGAACGGGGTGCTTATGGGGGTGTCCCGAGTGCTGTGATGTCGATTCCTAATTCAACATTAAAAATTTATCAATATTCCTCATGGTGTGGGAATTATTGAATTTAGTTAGATGTGATATACGACATAATGTCGAGTCTAAATATTTCTAACCTAAAGGTGTTTCCTTCTGTCTTCAACAGGACTCCCCAAGCCAGACAAGTCAACGTTCAGAAAACAGACAAAGAGAGTCACCCTGGTCCTCTAGGTTGAGGGTTGAAGCGTGGGACCGACACTCCCACATTTGTGAAACTCATTTCGTCACGAAACGACATCTCGCATGACGGATTTAAATTAACCACGACCCTGGAAAGCTAAAAGATGCTGGAGACCTGGTGCCTTGAATGACAAACAAACGGAGTCGCCAATTGGAAAGTGTAGGCACGTCACAGTAATGAATGGAAAGGGGGAGGGGGGGGGGTGATGTCTGCAGCATTAAGTTGCAACTTTTATTAAGATGTGAAACACTGGTTCAATAGCGAGGTAATTATAACAAAATAAGTAATATGTTGGTTTAATAAGTAGTATTTAGGATGACCATAATATCTTGAGCTGAAAACGGGACATCCCACTAGTATATTGGGCTAAAAGCGGGACATCCCAATAGTATATTGGGCTGAAAGCGGGACATCCCACTAGTATATTGGGCTGAAAGCGGGACATCCTAAGCGAATCAGTTAAATCTCCGCCGGCCTTGTTTCCTCCTTCACCATTTCTCTAGGTCACCGGGATGAACATGTAATTACTTAGACAACAATGGTATTAAGACTCGAACCACTGCCGCCAATAAACACACGAAACAAAATGTTCTTTAATTTCAATGAAAATAGCATGCTACAATAAACAATTCTCATCAAACACTATGCAGGCATTAAAAGTATCTAAACCAGCGGTTCTCGGCCTGCCGGTAGCGACCCATTTTTGGGGGGGGTTTGGGGGTGGGGTCGAACGACCATTTCACAAGGGTCGCCTAAGAGCATAGGAAAACACATATTCATTGAAGTTATGAAGGAGAATCATTGTTTGGGGGTCGGCACAACTCCAGAGAACTGTAGTAAAGGGTCGCAGCAATAGGACGGTTGAGAGCCACTGAAATATGACATCTAATAGGCTCTCCAAATATATTATTAAGTGTATGTTCTATTCTCGTGCGCATTACTAGATTTTTATAAAACGAGAGGAAGCTGCATGGTCTCAAGGCATGGTGTCCGCTTTAAGTGCTAGATGTTCCGGGTTCAATCCCCAGCAAGGGCTAGGATTTTTTTACGTGAACTTGTACTTCTAGTA